TGATGATGATGATGATGATGATGATGATGATGATGGTGATGATGAGGATGATGGTGGTGATGGTGATGATGATGATGATGATAATGATGATGGTGATGATGATGATGATGATGATGATGATGATGATGATGATGGTGATGATGATGGTGATGATGGTGATGATGATGACAGTGATGATGATGATGATGATGGTGATGGTGTTGATGATGTGATGAGGAAGATGATGATGATGGTGAAGAGGAAGATGATGAAGATGATGGTGATGACAATGATGATGACGATGATGATGATGATGATGGTGATGATGATGAAGATGATGAAGATGATGGTAATGATGATGGTGATGGTGTTGATGATGATGATGATGAGGAAGATGATGATGATGATGGTGATGATGAAGATGATGCTGATGATGATGGTGTTTTAGTGACGTACTCCTGATCACTCCAGTCATCATTGGGATCTATCCTACAATGAGAGAATCACGCAGGTCTTCGGCCAATCACAAGTCGAACACAGGCAGCAGGAGTGAAAGGTTTCTACATTTTGTGGGATTTTCAGTGTTACAGCGGGTTGTTGCTCAACAGTCTCCAGTTAGTTTCCATCTGCTTGCCCATCAGATCACTGAGGCTAAGCTCTGCTCCGTCCGGTACCGGAGTCTAAATAATATCCTGTCATGTGAGATGAACTGTTAGTTTCAAAGCGCCTCTCAGAATAAAGGGAATCATATCTGTGAAGTTTCTCCTGGTGATGCAACCTGATCTCAAAGTCTTGTTAGATTTTAAATCTGGAGCCTGAAGGTCGGCATCATCTGCATAAGTCTGATTTAGCCTCTGAGCAGCCAGTGGAGGTCGTTTCTAAACAGACTGAGGATCACAGGTTAGAAAAAACCCGTTGTGTTGTCTAAAAAGAGAAATTTTCTTGGTTGACTCTCTCTCTGCTCTCCAGCTGGAAGATGTGAATCCAACCAAGCAATCAGCTGCTTCACTAGAATGATTGAATGTAGGCAGAACATGGTGGCTGAAATAGTCAGAGGATGTTTTCAGATTCTAGAGCGCGATCCTAATATTTTCAGTAAAATACCAACTTGCGTTTCTGAGGAATATTTCAGTCTTAAACCTGAAGTCTGTTCTGAAACATCCAGTTCCAGGACCTTCAACAACAAGCACAGCAACAGGTCATGAACTCTTGTTCTGAAACCGCTAAAAACGATGTTCCAAAGCTGCAGTATAATTATTTATGGTTAAATCTAAATGTCACGTCAGTTCTTCTGCTGAATACTGTGTATGTGTTAAATGTCTGTGGCAGTAGCACATCCATGTTTTGACATCTGAGATGGAACCATTAGGCTGCAGTTCTTTCATTTCTTTGACTGGAAGCTTGTTGGTTGAATTGTCTGCAGGCGACTCGCTGTGAGCTTTTTCCATAACTTCTGTGTCAGTTCTGAGGTTTCATTCGGTACTGTTGTATTTCAGTTTGTGTCAGTGCTGCGTACTCAGTGTGTTGTGTTCGCCTCAGCAGGCGTCTTTGTGTTTCCTAAATCAACTTGTCGACTCAGCAGTGAGTTTGTAGGTCAGTGAACAAACAGAGCGTCGCCGTGCCAACTGGCTGCCCTGCTTCTCCTCAGTCTGCGAAGGTTTAACTTCACCGACATCATCAGCCACTCGGTCCAGCACAGCAGCCAATCAGATGGCAGAACAGGACAGACAAGGAAGTGGAGGAGCCTCTGAGTCTGCCAGCCATCGCTCCAGTTTTTACTTGCAAACAAAGAACCGAGTGTCGGGTTCCTGCAGCACTTGGACCTCCTTTGTGGACGTGTGAAAGCAGCTCAGACCTGATCCTGATCAAACTAACTCACCTGAGAGGGACGAGCTGACTGTCCTCAAACACACATCACCTGCAGCGGAACGCTTTACTAAGTTTCTGACCCGCCAAAATAAAAGGTAGACTGGCCCAGGTGGTACTTTTAATGGTCCCTGGAAGGGTCCAATTATATTTTAAACCTGCCTCCTTTAGATCTGACAAATGCTGAAATAGCATCTACAGCAATATGACAACGGCGATGATGAAGATGATGACGTCGTGCTTCTATGGGCTTGTACGGCTGGTTTATACATTCAGAGAGGATGACGATGGTGTGTGATCGACTGGGCCGAGTCGGTATCTGCAGCATGAATATCATCAAACAGAGATTAAGACCTCAGATTGACCATCAGCAGAAGAATAAACTCACAAATGACAACAACACAAATTAAAAAACAAAACTAACTCGACCTGATCTCTGACAACAAACACACCAGCAGGAGGTAAAGGCAGAAACACTTTGATCCTCTCTCAGTGCAGCTGAACCTTAACTCACACTTTAATGTGATAAAACAACATGAACTTGGTTGCACACTACATCCTGATGAGTTGTGTGCTGTCCGCTCTGCAGTGGATCTGACCATGTAATATTTGTCCTGAGGGTGGCACTGGAGCTCATGGAGTTACTGAACTGTAAAGGGGCATCATAGAAATCTGTCTGTGGACTGAATTCAAAAGAAAGACACTAAGTGGCAAAGTATTGACCCACAGTTTGTTTAATGATGAAACAAAACAGGCAAAAATGCAAATAAATTATATAAAGTTGGCAACAACATTGACCAAACGGATGAGAAGTGTTTTCAGTCTGTTACATCATTTAACTTCAGTATCTCACAGCTCGATGAGATTTTAGGGAAATGAACAAAACTTTAATCAATGTTGTCTTTGGCTTCCGTCTGAATCTTCTCAGCTCCAATGTTGAGCATAAAGTGGCATCAAGTCCAGGGATTTAGTTCACTGTGCAAACATCTACATTCACCTTCTTATCAACAGTATTAATAATTATACTCAGAATGATCTTGTTTGGCTCCAGCAGCTGGATGAACTTATTTCTTTCAAGTATCTTGACAACAGAGATTTTGATGCTTTAGTGGAACACATTAATAACTGATTCATGTTTTCTATGACGATAGAAAACAAACCACATTTATAAATGAAGATGGATAAAGTTGGACTTTGTGGTATCTGTTGCATAGTATTCTCGTTCCAATGTGGAAAAGAGTCTCCCTAAAAGAAATCCGACGCTTCGTCACAAACATAACACTTGTCTTTCCTGGGAAACTGCTGATGGGATGTTTTTCCTCCACTAAGCAAGTTTTCAAAGTGTTTGAGCGTCTTTAGGGGGTAGCTGTTTACGAGCAGCCACACTCCTCCACGATCATGTTCTGGATGTCCTTCTTGATGATCTTCTGCTCCTCGTTGTAGTAGAGCATGGACATGGCTCGCAGCCTCGTCGGCACGCAGCACGACTTGATGTTTTGAAACGGGCTGTAGCCTCTCATGCGGTAATGATTGATGACGGTCGAGTGGAAAGAGAGAGACGAGCTGCCGATGTTCGCCATGTGGTTCGGACATTCGCCCTCGCAGTAGTTGGCATGGTAACCAGACGGAGCGATAATCCAGTCACCCCAGCCGATGTCTTTGAAGTTCACGTAAAACTGCCGTTTGCAGCAAATGTGGATTTTCCCATCACACTCCAGACCTCGTTTGACTCGCCGCTGAGCCTCTTCTGGAGCTCGTAGCACCACCATGAGGAACGGACGGTGAGACTGGTCTCGTCCTGAGGCCGGTTCGCCGTCAGCAGACGTCAGAACGGGCGACGCTCCGGCTTCAGCACACAGTGGACAGGAAACCCGCAGGCTGAGCGAGCTGCCGCCGCCGTCCAGCAGAGTCTGAACGCTGCGAGGAACTGCGAGGGTGTGCCAACCGCTGCGACGGGTGTCCACCATCTTCTCTGAAACACACTCTTCTTCCTCGTTACCGTCCTCACCATGATGAAGCTGCTGCAGCCGCAGCATCACTTTGCCTTTCGCTCTGTTAACCTTCGACATCTTCAGGAAGATCCAAACGTTGGCCTGTTCCACCACAGACGAGCCTCCTTCCTTCAACATGTCAAAGGTCATCGTGTTCGGAGAGTCTCCTGCAGCAGAGAACAGTCAGCATGTTAGGATCACGTCAGTCCTTCAGCAGACAGCAGCAGCTGCATCAGTGTTGTTAACGTGACTCAGCAAAACACAATCACCTAAAAGAAAGTCTCTCCTGGACTGACAGCTGCTGACAGCTTCAACGTCATCATTCATGCAGTACAGAGACGAAGAATCGTTCTGCTTCTGAGCTCAGCCTCACATCTTCAGGCTGAGAACATGAAGCTCAGGCATTCACTGCACGGACAGATGACTACCTGGAAACTTTGGTCCTCACATTCACCCAAACATTGTTCCAGAACAACCACACGCCTCAAAAAGTGCTCAGAAGCTGCTCGAGGAACATGACAAAGAGCCCAAGTCCGGTCCATGGAGAACCCCCTAGTGCTCTGGTGCCAGAGTCCAGGCATAGGCAGACGTTATAAAATGTTATAAAATCAGGAGAACCAGTTTAATAAATGTTGGAGCGGTTTGTGGACTGTGGATCCTTCTGCTTTATCTCTGAAGTGAACAGCAGTGATTAGCAATAAAAACAGCGGCCGTGCTGCCCCCCTTCTGGTTTTGTCCTCCTGTCATATGAATGAATGAACACAGTAAATGTCCTTAACAATGAAAGCATGAATGGAGCATCTGCCTCTAAATATACTCAAGTTGAAGAGAGACACTAAAAAAAGCTCCGGCCTGATTTCAGGGAATGTTGTTAACAAGGCTGCCAGTATCGTCCTCCCCTCCAAAGGGAAGCCGTCCTCTTTGTCTGCTGCTGCAGAATAATTACTGAGGCCCAGATCTGTCTGAAAGAGGAGATTATTTACGAGCTGAGACCGCTCGGTATGTCCCCCCGTTACTGCCCACTAATTTGGATTGGCTTTGAGGGGCCTTTCTATTGACAGATTCCTCTGAAAAAGGAATTATTTATAGCACAAAGCCATTATGCACATTTATGTAAGCTAACAAATAATTGGACAATATGATTGGTCACGAGTGGGTTCACGTTTACAGAATCAGACCGAGCAGAAAACTTTGACATAATCATCGTATGAATTGACTGGACTTGTTAACAACAGTTTGTCTCTTACCTGAATCAGAAAATATTAATGATTGAATGAATCAACAGACATGAGCAGAGTGGAGACAGACCAGCCAGAGGTACATTTATCCTCATTATGCAGCCTTCAGCGCCTCCTTTCTTCTGTAAACCATCACTGAGTTTAACCTCCGTCAGCGAGACGAGGCTTTAAACTTGTTTCAGCCACATTTGCTTTGACTTTAAATCATACTTTTCTATGATCAGACTTTCATCTCCTTCTCTTGTTTTAGACACACCAGCTCAGTGAAAGCACCGGAAACAAAGATGAGTTCTGAGTCGCTCACTTCTCTGATTCTCCGTTCAGCTGGAGCTATTCTCCTTTTTTCAGATGTCCACAGATTCCCTGCTTCATTTTTCTTTGACTCAGTTTGTCGCAAAAGAAGAGACTGTGGGGGTTTGTACGGACTCGGCTGCATTATATCCCTGAAACAAGAGCGATTTCTGCCATGTTTGACATTTATTCTGACGTCATGAAGCTGATCGATCACCTGATCGATTGGCAATCAGCTCAGAAACCTCCGTTTCATTTCTGAACATTGGTGGACAAACCAAAGAGGTTTTATTGCTGCTGTTCATGCGACAGATGAGAGTTAAAGCAGCACACGATCAATGAACAGTACAGCTCAGCTTCATGCTGCCGTCACACCTGCATGACAAAAGGCATCTCAACTGTGATTCATCTTCAGGTTTGTGTGACAGTGTAGGAAAAAACTGAATTAAAAATATAGACTTGACACTCGGTCACACGGACTGAATAGAATCAATAGAATCTGTCTGTGTAGCTGAAATATGTCAACAAACTTTGAACTTTTCAGATTTTCTGAATGAGCTGATAAGAGAAAACACACAGACAGACGAGGAGTCAGCAAACCTCAGTAGAGTCTGGATCTACTGACGTCACCGGTCCAGCAGGTGTTCACATACAGAGCTCTAATTTCAGACGGCATGTAAACGCCTCTTTCATGCGCCTGGTGTGTTTCCTGACACGCCTCCTCACAGGAGTTTGTTTAACCAATCAGATTGCTTGATGTTGAAATTTGACTGAGCGACAAGGCCTTCACGTGGCGTTAAACAGATGTTGACATGAATGTGGGACTTCTAGGATTAATAACTGGACCTGGGCTCAGCCAGGACCAGCTCATCAAGCGGACTCACCTGGCTCTCCAAAGGTGATTATTTCAGATGGCGGTTCATGTGGCGTTGAGTCCGCAGAGTCCCGGCTCTCCTCCTGGATCTCCACGCTGCCGTCTTCAGCCACTCGGCCCACGTGCAGCTTCTTGATGGCGTTCAGCAGCGCGGCGCGAGGGACCGGATGCGTCAGGTTGGGTCTGGCGCTCAGGTGCAGCATGTTGAGGATGTGGCGCTTGACGGCCTCCACCATGTCGCTCTGACCTACAGATGAAGACGAGTTCTTCCTCATTTGAGACAGAGAGCAGGACGGACAGTCAGAGGACGGCGCCCCCTCCTGGAGCCGGGACGCCACATCCACCTTCACCGCTGGAGAGACGGTCGGAGAGGCGTCGACAAGAAGACACACGGCCACAGAGAAGAACACAGCTAATGGAGAACACATAGTTTGAGACCGATGCTGGTGATCACACAGCAGAAACAGCTCTATCTGAGACTGAGTGCCGGGAAAGCGCTGAGCAGATCAGCACTCAGATGTTCAGATCAAATCCTTCCAACTGCAGTCAAGCCAGTGGACTCTGATGCTGGAGGTGAGTGAGGACACACAGCAGCAGCAGTCCAACAGCCAGCAGTGAACTTCTGCTGGTGAGAAGAATCTCTGAGTCTTGTCCTGACGCTTTGGTTCTCTGGTTCTGTGGTCCTCAGTCCTCTGGTTCTACTGTCCTCAGTGTGATGGTTCTCTGATTCCCAATCTGGTTCTCTGGTCCTGGAGGTCTGCTGGTCTGAGCTGAACGAACACTGTGCAGGGTCATTCTACTCTCCCTCTGTGCTGTGTTACTGTAATTATACCTCTCTGGCTGTTTAATCCCTCCCTCCGTCCACAGAGGTATTTCCCTGTGAGTCACTCACACTGACACAGTGAATAAAGTCTCAGAATATCTCAGGACTGTTTGTGGTGTTTCCTCCTGAATGAACGTCACGACAGAAGAGGAGGAGGAAGGAGGGAAGAGGAGGAAGAGTGTGTCCCTGATTCATTCATACCACACACACACACACACACACACACACACACACACACACACACACTGATGAATCACGTCATCGTCACCTCACGTGGAGGAGAAACTCCGTTGGTGTGAAATTTTTAGACTGAAAAAAGAGTTTGTTGTTATAAGCAGCGTCCTGCACACAGCAGATGGAGCGCGCTCAAAACAGACCGTCTCTCTCTCTCACAGTGACATCAGCACGCCCTCTGCTGGTGGGAGTCAGCAGTTACAACATCCTCCTCACCTGGGACGAGTCCTCTGATTCACCTTTTCCTGTGCTGCAGATAGATGAAGTTCAGTCTGCAACATGGAAATATTTGCAGCAGTAAACTCCAACTAAACATCTGTGTTCAGCCAAATGTAGATGCAGACATTCTGCAGTCAGTCAGGAAAGTAAAAGAAAACTTTTTCCCAGGACAGGACAGAGATCCAGAGCAGATGTCAACATCCACCACAAATCACTGGAAGAAGCTCTACCTGAAGGACTTGAAAGATGCTGAGGCAGTCTGAGCAGTCCTGAAGACTGAAAACTCCAAAATCAGGAGCAGAAAGGACTCCAATCTGCCAAAGGAGCATCACTGAGCTCTGGCTCAGATAGCCTTTATGCTCCTCAACAAATAAAAAGTGATATTTAAACATCCTTTCAATTCTTTCATAACAAACTGTTTGAATTGCAAACATATCGTACTGATGAAGCGCACTGAGGTTATTCCTGTATGAAGGAAGCTTTGGGATGAGTGGCACCAACCTTCCATTGAAGCTTCTTGATAACTCCTCGTCCTAAAATGAGGTGTCACTTAAGCCAGTCTCTGAGTAACCAAACTGAAAACAGAGGAGCTAGTTGCATTTGCTGCTTTTTCTACAGGGTTCATATGAAGTTCCTGCTCAGTTTGATGCTGCTGCTGCTGTGGAAGATGAAGGTGCTGGAACATCCTCGCTGTCACCATCTGTAATACTAAACTAAGATCTAAAATCTAATATCCAACTGTACCTACTCAGAGTGTTTTCAGTAAAATAATATAAAACATAAGAAAATTGTTTTTGATCCATCAGCTTTGAAATTAAAATGTCAGCAGTTCAATGCAAATGTGTCAAAGAAAGAAGACAAGAAATACAGAAGTACAATAAGAGCAACACACGGATACAGGACAGGCTATGGACACATTAGTACAGGAACGCTGATGGCGTGAAAGGCCAGAGTTCTGCTTCAACATCGTAAACAGCTCTGCACTGTGTTACTGTACATGAGAATGGACAAGATGAACAGTGTTACTTGATGTTATTGTTCTGTAGAACCTGTCAGGAGAACAGAAGTTATCAGCTTCTAAAGGCCAACCAAGGCACAGAAAACCACTATAGGAACACTACAAACGATGAAGGCCAGCTGAGCAGACAATGAGCATCAAAGTGGTAGGAAACTACTGGAGAAGCTGTTAGATCGCAGCAATCTGAGAGGTGGAGATCCAAGTGTAGAAGACAAATCTGAGTCCAGCAGGGAGGTTCAGCTGAAGAGATGCTCAAACAGAACCTTTGTCAAGAGCTTGACGCTTGGCCTGAATTGGCTGACTGGTGTCTGGCTCAATGATCTGATAATGAATGACACTCAGAGTCTGGGTTTTATGGACAGAGTGCTGACTTCCCAGGTGAGCACAGGTGTCTTCACACCTGCTGATTAGACCACACCCACAGAGAGGAGGAAAGGCTGCCAGAGGTGGAGGCAGCGACGTGACGGTGTCTCATTTGGCATTAGCTGTGGTCTCCCATATTCACTTCTCTTCCTAGAAAGTCCAGAACAGTTTCCAATATGAAAAACATTTAAAGTTTCCTCTGTGATGGAGCTGGTCAGAGGTGACCCTTAGTGCTGCTGCTGCTGCTGCTGCTGGTAGACTTCCCATGATGCACTGGGTTCCTCTCCATACCTTCATATGACACCGCTGCTGGTGACTTTGTGTTCTCTGAGCTGGAGTGAATAAAACTGAAGTGTTTTCACTTTTTAAGCTCTGCTGCCCTCTGCTGGACGTTTCTGGACACTGAAGTGAATACGAGACATAAACTCATGAACATGTGTGTAGGTGCAGCAGCAGCTCTGGATGCATCCATAGGACCAGATCTATACTGTGACTGCTTCTCTGCTGTGAACCTGTCAGAGCTCACGTCCATAGGAAATTCTTCTGAACCAGCAGCATGTCTGTTGGACCCAATCCCAGCTAGACTGTTGAAGGACGTCTTCCCTCTAATAAATACTGCAGTATTAACTATCATCCGCTTCTCTATATTAACAGGCTACGTAGGCTTTTAAAGTAGCTCTAATAAAACCACTGCTCACAAAGCCTGCTCTAGATCCAGGTGTTCTAGCTATAGGCCCAGATCCAACCTCCGTTTGATTGGTAAAGTTCTGGAAGAAGCTGTTGCAGCCAGTTATGTGATGATCTGCATAGAAATGTTTGTCTGAAGAGTTTCAGTCAGGATTTAGAAGCATCATAGAACAGAGACACACTGCTGAAGGTCACTGATGATCTTCTTATAGCTTCAGACAGTGGACCAGTTTCTGTACTGGTTCTGTTGGACCTCAGTGCTGCATCTGATCCAGTGGATCACAGCATCTGATTACAGAGACTGGAATGTTTACTGGACTTAAAGGAACTGCACTGAACTGGTTTACATCATATTTATCAGACAGATTCCAGTTTGTTCATGTTAATGATGGTTCTTCCACCTGCAGTAGAGGTAGTGATGGAGTTCCACAGGGCTCTGTGTTAGGACCTTGTACATGCTCCCTGTAGGCAGTATTATCAGGGAGCACTGCAGACATTTCCACTGTTATGCAGACGACACCCAGTTATATTTATCTATGAAGCCAAATGAAGCCAATGAGCTGGTCAGACTCCAACATGTCTGAAGGACATAAAGGTCTGGATGACCTGGAATCTCCTTCATGTAAATTCAGACCAACTGAGGTTCTTGTATTTGGCCCTAAACACCTCAGAAACACACTCTGGAACCAGACAGCTGCTCTAGAGGGCATCGCCTTGGCCTCCAGTTCTACTGTACAGAACCTTGGAGGTGTCTCTGACCAGGACATGTCCTTCAGCAGCCCTACAGAACCAGTCTGTAGGACGATCTTCTGTCATCTACGTAATACTGTAAACATCAGGACCATCCTGTCTCAGGGTGATGCTGAGAAACCAGTCCATCATTCAGAACTTCTAGACTGGACTGTTGTAGTTCCTTATTATCAGGATGTCCCAGTAACTCTCTCAGAACCCTCCAGCTGATCCAACATGCTGCAGCAGGGTTCTGACAGAACCAGTACCAGATCAGATGTCTCCTGTATCAGCTTCCCTTCAGTGGCTCCCTGTAAAATCCAGGATAGAATCTAAATGTGTTTGTTCTCTGGATCTGGAGCTTCACGGCTCTGACCTGCAGCCGCTGGCCTCACCGACCTAAACATATGTATTGTTCTGTGCTATTGCTGCTCTCCATCTGCTGTCCTGCTGTCCACCCCTCCATCCCCACTCTCACTGAAGCAGATGGCCTCCTTCCCTGAGCCTGGTTCTGCCCGAGGTTTTTTTTTATGGTTCCTTCCCACCGTTGCTCAGAGGAAGTCCAAAGGCTGCTGTCTGTATAAAACCAGCTTCATGCTGGTTCATCACAGGTTTATCATCATCTGCTTTTTTGAACTTGCTGTGTTTATTTATTTTTTTATGATATTTTACATTTTACAAATACTGAGATTAAGAGTTTTAGAGAGAGGAAGTTCAGATTATGTTGATGTTATGTTAATGCTAAAACAGAATCATGGGACAGTACAATGAATAGAAATAACAAAACGTGTTGTGACTAATGTTGTAATCATGTTTTGTCTAAATCTGAATCTCTTTTTGAATCTGTTTTGTCTTCAGCGTTTATGATGAAATTTGAAATGAGAACACCAGTGTCTTTCCTCTCACTGACTTGTTTGTCTTTATTTCTCTGCTGCTGGTTCTGTGCAGCGTCGCATTTCTGCTGCGACGAGACTCTGAACAATAACTAAAAGTGCAGTTTGGGTGATGATGTCACGAGGCAGGGTGGGATTCTGGACGTTGTTGTCGTCAGCACAGGCAGGAATCATACTCACAGCCAGGTAATGTAGCCACAGGTTATGTTAGCCAATGCAATGCTAACTGCTAGCTTAGCATTAGATGCAGCTGTGCAGCTGCTGTAGCTAATTTCACAACAGCTCAGTGCTGTTTTCTGTGACCAAACTACCTGCTCAGTTTTATTCGTTAGCATGATTCGCTGTAAAGGAGATGTGACTTCAGTGACAGCACTGTTCGAACACAGAAGGGAACATTTGAGAAAACAGAAGAACACAAGTCGACAACATACAAAACCTTGTTTGAGTCATTTTTAACATAGAAATCTTACAGATTATAACGATAAAGTCTCACAGATGTGAATTACAGGAACAAACCTGCCATTGGCTGCTTTCTCTTTCTCATCCTCTATCTACCATTTACAATTTCTAAATCTCCAGGAAGGAACAACTGGAAGTGGAATCTTTACCTGAGGATTTGGATTGTGCAGTGAAGCGGTCCTGCTAATTATTTTAGGTAAAATATTCGTTTTATGACAGTCTTTGACTAACTGATGCAAATGCTCCACTAAAACAATTCCACTGTCATAGTTTTAAGGAAACAGCGATGCTGCATCTTGTTCTTAGCTCTGCCCAGCATGATTGGTCTAAAGAAACACAAACAAACCAATTCTGTGCGACGGAATGTTCTAAATGAGACGGTACCTTCAGTGACTAAAGACTGAGCACAGAACATGAGATGAACAACAGAAGGCAGAAAACATTTATTATACAAAAAGCTTTGTCACCTTATTTTTACCAGTTAAATGACCCGGATGTTCTGGAGGTTCTAATTCGCAGTTATAAAGAGTTTATGTTGGATCTCTTTTTTTTTTTTTTTACAGTTTGAACACTTTTAGCTTCCAGCTGAATTTGAGCACACCTCAGCTCTGCTGGAAAACATGGCAGCCTTTAAAGCCTGCAGTACAGAGCCTGTTAATCCAGAGATGGTTCTGATACTGGATTGTTAATTACAGAACATTCTGGTTCTGTGGAGTCTCAAGAACAAAAACACATGTTCAGGATTTATTGTCTGACAGTTGAACTGTAAAGAAGCTCTTGAATCATCACTTCTGAGTTTAAATGAAGCTCCACAGAATATGGACCTGGACTGGTTCTGGTCAATCATCAGCAGTTCTTGTGCCATGAATCACTTTTTATGTGTTATTTAGCTGTTTTCCACGCTGAGAGAAGTTCTTTCCAGTCCAGTGTATTTGTTAACGGTACCACCGAGCCTCTGATTCCTTTCAGCTGCTGCTTAACAAACATGATTATCACAGATGTTCTGATCTGATCTCAAAGATCAGGATCAGGCCGATTAGGGTATTTTTTAAGCTGATCTGTAATAAACCTGGGCTGCAGGTGTCTCAGTGGTTAGCACCGTGGCCTCGCAGCTAGAAGGTCGCNGCCCCCCCATGACCCTAGTGAGGATTCAGGTGTAGAGATGATGGCTGGATATGGTGGATGGCACAATTCAAGTCCCAGCGTGCAGATTTAGAATATGACTCCAAAGGTTGCATGTACTGATGTGACTGAGCGTCATCTTAGCTGCATCCTTATGTTTTTGTTTTAGACATCAGACATCATGTAAAGTCAAAGTGTTGTCTTTCTGCTCTGCAGCCGAGTCGGTTTCTACATCACCACTTTTAAGTGTGTGACGAGTCTGGAGGCAAAGTTTCACCGCGAGATCTCACTGGTGAGTTTTCGTTTGTCCTTGAGTCATCATTTTACTGTTAAATAATCCAGAAGGACATTCAGACAGAAAAACAGTGTTTAGTCAGAACCTGCCGCTGTGTGTTTCCTATCTATAACCTGATTGGCTGTGACCCTCCAGGTGTGCAGGCAGCTGTATGAAGTGATGACCCAACTGGCTGAGCAGCACGCTGACAAAATGTTCACCATCCAAGGAGCCCCAAGGTCAGAACAAACTTTAAGTGTCTTTGATTTTCAACCTCATGTGTTTTGTTTCAGGTAAATGATGAAGGTGCTTTTGCTGGTTTAAATCTGGGTATTTTCCGTGGCTGACCCTGACACTGATGTGTTAGGTTTCTGAAATCTGTCCTGATACGGGTTGTGGTTATGGGTTAGAGTTGTGATGGGTCAGGGTGATGGGTAAGGGTTGTCGTGATGGGTTGTGGTGATGGGTTAGGGTGATGGGTTAGGGTGATGGGTTGTGTTGATGGGTTGTGGTGATAGGTTGTGGTAAATGGTAAATGGTCTGCACTTATATAGCGCTTTTCTACCTTTGCGGCACTCAAAGCGCTTTACAATGTTTCTCATTCACCCATTCACACGCACATTCATACACCAATGGCGACAGAGCTGCCATGCAAGGCGCTAATCTACCATTGGGAGCCATTTGGGGTTCAGTGTCTTGGTGGTGATGGGTTAGAGTTGTGGTGATGGGCTGTGATGATGGGTTAGGGTGATGGGTTGTGGTAATGGGTTAGGGTGATGGGTTAGAGTNGTCCGTGGTCCTGATTCGATGAGAACTGTCCGTGGTCCTGATTCTATGAGAACTGTCCGTGGTCCTGATTCGATGACAACTGTCCGTGGTCCTGAGATAATTAGAACAAACATGAAGATCTTCCACCTGTCCAGGTGAGTCAGCTCTGACAGGCTCCACCCCCAGCAGCCCTGCAGAGGATGAAGGGAAGACGATGGATGAAGATCCTCTGTGGAGTCACTGATTGGTTTTCATTCTAAGATCTTCTCCCTCTGACGAATGAAAACACAAAAACATGAAGTCACCAGTGATGAAAATGTAACTATGAATATTAGATCTGCTTCCTGTCCATAGAGTCTGTCAATCCAGAACACTGCAAGCTTCTTGTTGAGAATTTGAGCTCGTGATGAAGCTGCTGCAGCTGGAATTAAGCTGAGCTGGATTAAACTGTAACTAAACTGTTCTTTCAAATTGTCTTTGTAAATATAAAACGGATATAAATCTGTTAAATTTTATGTATTTCTCAGGTTCTGCAGAAGTTGGGAAAAGCAGATGAGACCAAAGATGAACAGTTTGAGCAAGTAGTTGTCAACTTCAGGAGGCAGGAGGTGAGAAACATTGTTAAGAACTGAAATTATAGACACAAAGCTGCTGAAACTGGAACTAGTTCATTTGCTTTGCTTTCTTCTTCGTCCTCCATCATGTGTCCTTCAGTTTCAGCAAAGCTTGTGTGTTTTACTAACCAGCTGTGTGTTCTGTCAGTCTGAAGGCTCTCGGCTGCAGAGGGAAATGAAGGCCTACATGTCTGCCATTAAAGGTAAGCAAGTGTCGTGTTCACTCGGGTTAGACTGAAAAACACTAAATAGTCTGTGCTTCTCTGCATTCAAACCAAATTTAACGTCACCATGATGACTGAAACAAAGTTTGGTTGTTTGCAGGGATGCAACAGGCCTCCATCAACCTTTCTCAGTCTCTGCATGAAGTGTACGAACCAGACTGGCATGGAAAAGACGACGTTCTGACCATTGGAAAGGTCAGAAACACAGGAGCACCTGAATACATCACACAAACATGACACACACAGTCCTGACTCTGCCTCCTGTTGCACCACAGTGCAGCTTGACTTGGGGACTCCTGTCCTTGTAGAATCATTTTAGTTCTGATTTTAATTTTCAACATGAGAATCTGCATTTCTTGCAGGACTGCGATGCACTGTGGGAAGACTTTCATAATAAACTAGTGGACTCGACGCTGCTGAACCTGGATGCATACCTGCAGCAGTTTCCAGACCTCAAGGTATAAAACGGATTGTCTTCTGGGTACAAAACATGGGTCAGTGCAGAAACTGGTTCATTGTGTGAAAATGGAAACTGCGTTGTTTCAGACTCGTGTGGCCAAACGAAGCCGAAAACTCATCGACTATGACAGCGCTCGGCATCACGTCGAAACGCTGCAGGCGTCTGGGATGAAGAATGACCGCAAGATGATGAAGGTGAGTGCACTCTGCCGTGGATACACCTGGTCCAGGTGTTCTGTGTAAAGCTCATTTTGTTTTTGCATGCAGGCAGAAGACGAGTTAAAAAAGGCTCAGAAAGTGTTTGACGAGCTGAACGTCGGCCTGCAGGATGAACTGCCGACTCTGTGGGAACGGTGAGTCGCATCACACACCTGTTGGACAGATTGTACCTTCCACCAGAGCTGTAAAGATGAACAACACGTCGGGGTTTGATCAGAAGCTCAACTCGCTGCTTTAAAGCTGAATAAACTTCATTGACAGTTAGGTGGCAGGAGGTCTGTTCAGCTACAACAGAAGAAATAACAGTTTGATCATCAGTTTGAGACTTTGTGAGCTGAACCAACTCAATGATTCAACATTAAATATGTTTCTAGTGATTTCTATCCCAGTGATCAGAAACACTGAACACAACATCTGACTGACATTGACAACAGACCTGATTTGACTTCTAATAAGGCTGATGGTGGGCTGCAGCTGTCTCGGTGGTTAGCACCGTTGCCTCGCAGCTAGAAGGTCGCCGGTTGGCGTCCCGGTGAGGACACCCGGGATCTTCCTGCGTGGAGTCTCCATGTTCTCCCCGTGCAGCGTGGGTTCTCTCCGGGTTCTCCGGCTTCCTCCCACAGTCCAGAAACATGCTGAGGTTAATTGGTGATTGTAAATTGTCCGTAGGTGTGAATGTGAGTGTGCTTGGTTGTCTGTCTCTAAGTGTAGCCCTGTGATAGACTGGTTACCTGTCCAGGTGAACCTGCCTTCACCCTGAGTCAGCTGGGATAGACTCCGCCCCCCATGACCCTGGTGAGGATTAAGGTGTAGAGATGATGGATGGATTGAACCTCAGTCTGATCCTTTATTTACCGTCACAGGTGCAGTCAAGGCAGAATGTAGCTGAAACATCTGCTCTGTGGAAACATTTTAAATTGGAAAACTAGAACAGTTCAAAAGCCACCGTAGCATCTGCAGCGGGATTATTGTCAGAACAGAACTGCATTCAGAACAACCGGTTGGATCCATGGACACAGTGAGGTCACTCAGGTGACTCAGGTAAAGGCTGCAGTGAATCGACACACACTGGAGGAGACGTTTAAGAGAGAAATTTCTTTGAGACAGAAAGTAAAAGATCCCAGAGAAGGAAACTCAGATACGAGTTGTCACCAGCTGTTGGAGCCTCGATCCAGCTTCCAACATAACAGAGTTCTACGAGAGCTTCAAGGTTCCTGAACACCTACAGAAAAGAACCTTGTCGTAAAGCTCTGTATATAATCTTCTGTAGTAATGCAGAGATATTCAGGGATAAAGCAGATCAACTTGCTGGATTTATTAACGTTAATGTGCCAAAACTGTGTTTTATTTGGAAAGTGGCGTCAGACTAAATATTAACGGACTCAGATCGGACCACCGTGAGGTCACCACAAACATAGAACTATACATACACCTGCTCACCTGTCCTGCTGCCTCACTGCTGCTGTTTCTTCTGATTTTGAAGAAGACCTGAATTGATTCTTGCGGCCTGATGACGTCATCAGGTCTTGCATCATTTCCTGTTGTTTGCTTTGCATTTCAGTAAAAAGTGAACTTAAAATAGCTCCAATTATCTGCTGCACCTGCGCACTGACAGCCTCACTTCAGCAGCATGAAGACTGACGGCGACAAACCTGCTGCTGAGTGTTAAACACACACTTCAGCTCCGACAGAAGCGTCCAATCAGCTGAGGGATGCCGCTGTAAGCCCCGCCCCTCCTCCTGTCACCGTCTCCGTTAATCCGCCTCTCGTCTCTGCAGGCATCATGGCGGAAATCAAGACGGGAATCTTCGCTAAGAACGTGCAGAAGCGGCTGAACAGAGCGCAGGAGAAGGTAAGAGCAGCCCGGGGGGAGGGCGGGGAGGCCGAGGGCGGACGGTCGGAGGGTCGGAGGGTCGGACTCCGAGCACCGGGCCGCCGCGGCTGGAGGACGGATGGAGGAGGACGGAGGCTGCGGCCTGCGCAGCGTTTCTGTCCGACATGATCCGGTCAAGCAGAACGTGATCGGTGTTGTGTTGATGATCAGGCATCGATGCAGAGGGCGTGACGTCACCGTGTCTCCGTTAAAATCAGCGCATTAAACAGCAAAATAATCAGAAACGGAGAAAGAGCGCGGATTGGCTGGCGTGGATTATACGCCTCGTCATGACGTCACTTGTGCAGCAAAACATGTTTTCACGGTTAAATAAATGGGGGGGGGGGTGCTGCGAGATGACGTCATACCTGATGCCATCCACAGGGTTGTTATTCATTCATTCACGTGCAGGTGAAAGGAAGCGCTGCATGTTTCATTACTCATTACTCTGATTAATACCGCTGCATTCTAGCTAATTAATGAGCAGCTCAGGCTCTGCAGCAGGAAAAACACAGGGTCACCTGATGGATGGGGTCACACCTGATTGGCCCTGATTCTATGAGAACTGTCCGTGGTCCTGATTCTATGAGAACTGTCCGTGGTCCTGATTCAATGACAACTGTCCGTGGTCCTGATTCGATGAG